CGCAACTCGCTGTAATTCCCTCTGTTTTTAAAGTCGGGGCCTGTGGGCATCTCTGTGTGAGTGAGCGAGCTCCGGGCTGTTCTTGTACATGCATGTATTAAAATTGAGCTAAGGCTTGTGAGCCTTCACCTTGAGTGTGTGCAAAAATGTTCAGGAAGGGGATTACTGCCGTCTTCGGGAGCTAACCGCCTCCCCCAGAAAAAAAAATATATATCCATATAGATATATACTTAAGAAATTGTGCATACCTCCAAGTAACCCCAGCTTTCTATCTTCCTACAAAGAAGTAAGACCCAGTGAAGATGGAGATGTACGACGTCCTCGACAAAGTAGGAGAGGGAAGTTACGGGACAGTGGTGAAATGCAGGCACAAGGACACGGGGCAGACAGTGGCCATTAAGATTTTATATGATAAATCGGGAAAAAGTGCTAACAAAACTGCGATGAGAGAAGTGAAGTTTCTGCAGGTTTGTTTCTTTAAATATTTAAAACAAATGGCTTGATAATGAGAGCTGCATTGTTAGCAGCTCCAATGTGGTTGCTTGTAGGCTGCTTCATGCACAAAAGAGTGAAAAAGTATTTGTTTGTGAAATACTGTGCTGCTAAATATCTAAAGTAAATCTCAAATGTGAAGATAAAGTTCTGAGATGTTGATGAGAAAAATAGTCTGTGTTTAAGTAGTGGAAGAATATCTGTGAGTTGCAGAGGATTTTTAACTGTTTTAACTTTGTAATGTTATTATTGGGTGTACTTATTTAAAAACTACAAAGTCAGGTGGATAAATCTTTCAGTGCAGTTTATGTGAATACTGCAAGGAAAAACTTGCCTGTGCCTTTCTCATGGCAGTTTTTAACTGAAAACAGCCACATTTCAACAAAACATGAAACATGTCAACTTTTCCTACTAGTCTATACTTGTGAATGAATTAAATGCTCAATAAAAATGTGTAACTTGTTTAATACCTGGTTGCTTGTTGCATTTGCTGGTCACTGTCTTGCACTGTGACCCTAAGATGTCTGTGTTCAAAGAGGTAGATCCTCAGCTCCATCAGGCCACTGAGGGAGAAAGCAAAAATATAAGGTCAATTTTGCTGTTTTAAATTGCAGGCTGCTCTGACTTCCCAAGTGGCTTTTTTTTTTTTTTTTCTGCAGTTGTGGATTATATCACTTTGGCTCTCTTCCCAGGATACTCCATGCACATTGGCCACAAAAAGGGTGGTGTATTTCTTATACCAGTTCTGTGTTATCTGTAAACAGAAGGGGAATTATCTGCAAATATTCGCTTATAAAGACACTGTAATACTGCTGTATTGCAGTGGGGAGATTTCCCTTCAACGCCCGGTGGTCATAATGGAGTCTAGACCTATGTCCATGAAGTTCCATAATTTATAGTGAAATTGCAGGGTTGCAAATTTTGATTCTCAGTTTTATGATGTATTCAGCCCCACTTTTGCTCTTTGTGGTCATGGGACACTTTTTAAAAATTCAGTTCTCATCAATTTTTAATTAGGCATAATGGCACATTTTGCCATAATGATGCTTCAGCTTCTCTTCAAGTTAGTCTAAGTAGAGGCCCTTAGCCCTAAAAGTGATCTAATTTCATAGACCTCAGTGGCATTAATGAGACTTGATATCACTGATGACCAGATTCTTTATACAGAGCTGAACTGCTTCCAAACATCAACAGATAGTAATGTAAAAACAAGTAGTAGGTGGAGCAGTTTCTGCAATAGTGCATGTTTTCAGTGTGATTCCCCTTATAAATATGTTTCTTCTTGTCTATGATTTAGTAACATAAAGTGTGCACAAAAGCCTATTTTTAAGCTATGAGAATAGCTGTTCATTCCAGTGTTGTATTTCTATTTTAGACTCCTGCAGGTGATAGAAGTTTTTGACTCAGCATTAATAATCTCACACAAAAGTGGTCAGTTCTGGATATTCACCATCAAAGAAGCAGTATTAATAATCTCACACAAAAGTGGTCAAAAAAGCTTTCTGGATATTCACCATCAAAGAAGCAGTGTTTATGTATTTTTTAATTTCAATAACATATGTTGAAATATTAGAGAAAGAGTGAAGGCAAAGAAACAAAGATTTGTAGCATATTTTCAAAATAATGTAAATCTTTAAGGATTGATCTCGTTATGCATTTCTAGAAGAGAAAGCCTATCCAAAGAGATATAAAAAGCGATGGTAGAAAGTGCTTTTCCTCTTTTACCAACAGCAATTTCACCATGAGAATATGGTCAACCTGATTGACGTATTTAGGCAGAAAAAAAGAATTCACTTGGTGTTTGAATTTGTTGATCATACAATTTTAGATGAGCTCCAGCATTATTGCCGTGGATTGGATAACAAAAGGCTTAAAAAATACCTCTTCCAGATACTACGAGCAATTGAGTATCTCCACAACAATAATGTAAGTACTTACTGTAAAGATTGAGCATAAAACAGTACGATAACTTTCAGACCAAAATTATTTTTATAGTGCTTTGTTATAAAAGTATTGATGGTATTTTTTCTTGAGGGGAAAAAAAAAGTTTTGTTTCTTTTTAATAGTTTTAAGTCTTTCTGGTTGGCTAGAAATTATCTGCAAATTTGAAACAAAGTAGTAAAGAGAAAGCTGATTAGACGATCAGTGTAGTATTTGGGCTCTTTAGTAACCGGACCAATCTCTGAAATTCTGAAAAGCTAAATGTGCTTAGTACTTCAATTGTTCTCCAGCCTATTTTGTTATTCTCAGTTAATCAACTGCCTTTTCAACTGTCATCCCTGGTGTTGCAGTGTTTCACAGAAGCTGAAAGCACCTTCCCTACTCCCACCTTGTCCTTTTCTTTGTACTGGTCTCATTTCTGCTAATCACTTTTGCTTAATTCTGCTGTGGAGAAGTAGGGCATTGTGCAGAAATCTCATTCACCTTCTCTCATCGCCTACATTAAGCAGTTGCTATTTACAGTAGTATTAGCACATGGATGACTTAGGAAAATTGGGGCATTCTGTCTTCCAGGGTCAATTCTGACACAGCAGGAGGGCGGAGGGGATTCAGCATTGGGTTTGTTTGTTTTCATTTTACAGAACAATAAGATACAGAACCTGTTTTATATTAAACTGATTTGTGTGTGTGTATTTTCTTATTTATTTATTTATTTCTTCAGATCATACACCGTGATATCAAACCTGAGAATATTTTGGTATCTCAAAGTGGAATCACCAAACTCTGTGACTTTGGGTTTGCTCGCACGTTAGCCAAAGCTGGTGATGTTTATACAGATTATGTGGCCACGCGATGGTACAGGGCTCCCGAACTGGTTTTAAAGGACCGGACGTATGGAAAGTACGTGGACTTGTTTTGTTTTGCCTCTTGCTCAGTTGGGATAGGGGAAGCATTCTTACCACATGGACTTTTGCTACAGCATAACATGAAAAAAAGGAAAATCATTAGAACTGTATATAAACTGTAAGGAACTATAAAGTAGAAGATACTGTAAAAGTTATGAAAGTTTTGTGCTTTCTGAGGTGTAACTTACGTGGTTGACAATATGATAACTTGGACATATCAGGGTTTTTTTAGTGTGTAATTCTTGCTAAGTATTTTACTTTGTAATATTTACTTTTTTTTTAGTAATACTGATTTTTTTTT